TTATGTCTCTTTTTGCAGCAATTACAGCAGCACCTCATCTATCGACTTGTCCCCTCCGCGAAGGAGTGGAACGCAGCCTTTCTCTTGTTGATAGATTTACTTTTTCCTTTTTGGGACTTGGTCACTGCTCAGCAGGCTTCTCGTCGAGGAACATAGAACTAAGCATATTTCACTAGTCTTATCTCTTGGTATTTGCTTTTCTTTACTACTCATCTCATCGTTGAATTCGCTAATGCATGATCTTTGGTGCAAACTGCCAAATTCCGTGATGGACACATAGTCAAATTTGTTTATCCGTCCATCCAGACCTCCACAATGTTGCAAGGTTTTGTCAAAAGATTCCTTCAAGGAGAATGGCTGGGAGTGGGAAAGCATCAAACTTTCCTGATCTGGGTACATCTTTATTCGATTACTTTTGGGTTCGATCCCTCTGGCTGTGGGTCATTGGTTCTTTTAGTTCGGGCCAGCCGGACAACCATACACGATGAAGATATCTCCAGGAGAGAAAGATGAAGATGATGATGCTACTTTAGACTTCTTTGGAACTTTTAACAACATAATATGGGAGTGGAAGCCTCCATTCTCTAACATGGAGATAGCATATCTTCCAGCCCAGTGCCCTTTTCTTTTGCGTGTGCTTCCTTTGCATCTTTAATTTCTAATAGTTATTGTTTGCAATGGCCAATGAGGCGTTAGAGTGTCATCTTTTGCACCCCTTGTAGCTTGATCAAGGAGATAAATCAACCATATTAAACTCCCGTGGTGTCACAGTTGCATCAATACATTAAACATCATCATCATCTAGAGACGGATCACCTTAATTGTGTATTCATCTCCTATTGGATCTATGTTACGTAATCTCCATTAGCTCCAAATCTCAGATTCCAACCTGGAAAACTATAAACTAACTGGATTTGGATGAGTGAGTGATGGGGTTTCTTTCCTGCAGCTTGTCATGCCACTAGAACAATTCAGTTGCCACATCACTTGACAGAATGATGAGCTGGGGTGTGGGAAGGAACCCGTATAATTCTAATTCTGTCGACCTCGCGTTCGGGAATCACTTGAATTGCGATTTTCTTTCTTTTGGTCGTTTATTTGCCTTTAACCCAAGCACTATAATCCTTCAAAACCTCACGTGACGGATAACATCGGATCTTGCATTAATCAGCTAAGTACGCATCAAGAGGAGTCGCTACTAGCTAACTTCACTCAGTTCTCAAGCAACTCAAAGATGCATCTTCGTCTTCTTTGGCTTAAAACTTCATGATATATATATATATATATACACACACACACAACCACATAACCTTTAAGTATAACTGTTAACTTTAAAAGTCTAAACCCTCCTATGGTCAAGTGGCCCATTTCTAAAGAGAAGAAACAAAAAATGCTTAGACTAACAAATTCTGTTCATAACAGCAACAATTACGATTAAAAAGTACCATCTACAGCCACAACATTTTCCCAATTTGAGGTTAACAGTACATCTGTCAAATAACGCAGAGATCAAATGGTTTATCTTCAGCATAACAAACAGCAAAAAGAAATTCCATTTGGTTGTCCAATCCATAAGCAGGCCATAGATATTAACTAGGAAAAGCTCATTAAGGGATGTCGAACACTGGCAGTCAAATCCCACGCATCGAACTCTGTGATTGTAAATGATCATCTTTGCTGCACATTCAAAAATAGAAAAGAAAATAAGAACTTGCAAAGTTCCAGCTTGTCAGTCTCAAAAAGTGAAAGAATCCAAGCGCGAAACACACAACTATTAAAGATATTAAGTACACAACAATTTAATGACAAACAAGCTACAAGCATAAAAGATAAACCACACATAATATTTAACGTAATTCGGCTCCATCATTGAGTTTATGTCTATGGAAAAAAACTCATTCTTTATTACGAGAGAAAAACCTTATATAAGAATACAATTTGAATCCAAACCCAACCCTTATATACCATCTCTTATCTCCTAAGAACCCTCTCTCATCCTCATGTATAAGGTTTCTCTCCATAGACGTGGACTAATGCCTCCTAAACATACATTATTTCACCTAATTTCATGGGCTTCTACTCGACATTTCTGAAAAACCAACTTCTAGAAGTGAATGGACGTCGTGGTTGCCATTACTTAGCATCAGCAACCAAGTGGCACTTCTTTGTGGATTTCTGCGATTAGTAGTGTTTCTTGCTTTCGTTTTTGTAGTTGAGGCTTAGGGCAAACTGTCTCATCATTTTGAGCCTGTTTGGAACTTGAGTTTTTTGGAAGTTTGTCTAAAATTTTACTGTAGTGCACTGTAGAAGTTTTCGAAAAAATTTTGTAGAAGTTTTTTGTAAGGTGAAAAACTTTTTTGTAGAAGTTTTTGGAATGTGAAAAATTTTGTAGAAGTTTTTGTAAGATGAAAAACTTTTTTTTCCTTTTCTTTCTTTTTCTTTTTCTCTTTCTTTTTCTTTTTCTTTTTCTTTCTTTCCTTTTTCTTTTCTTTCCTCTCCTCCTCTTCTTCTTCTTCCTTCCCCCTCCCCCTTCCCCGTTACCTCTCCTCTGCCTCCCACCTCCAGCACCTCCGCCAGCACCACCTCTGTTCTTCTCTTCTTTTTTTTTGCTTTTCTCCTCTCCCCCCCTCCCTCTCTCCCGCCACCCCCTTCCTCCCCTCTCCCCCGCCACCCCCAAACTTTTCCACCATTCCTTTCCTTTCCCCTCTGCCTGCCACTCCCTAGGCCCGCCACACCCTCTCCCCCTTTCCTCCCCTCTTTTCTCTCCCTCTCCCTCTCCCTCATACTCCGACACCCGAGGAAGGCCGGCAGCTGTGCATTATTTTTTTTTTTGCTTTTTCTCTCCCTCTCTCCCCTCTCCTCTTCCCCTCTCCCTCCTCCGCCACCCTCCCCCTCTCTGCTCTGCGATCTGGGACCAGACCGAGACCAGATCGCAGCCCTCTCCCCCTTTGCAATCTGGTCACACGACCAGATCGCACCTAGCAGGAGGGGGAGGGTGGCGGGGGAGGGAGAGGGGAAGAGGGGAGGCGAGAGGGTGAGGGTGAGGGACTCAAAAAAATTTTTTGAGGTTACCGGCGCCGGGAGAGGTGGTGGAGGTGGTGGCTGGTGTGGTGGGTTGGGTGGGGGAGGAAGAAAAGTTTTTGGAAAATTTTTTGTGTATAGATTTTTGAAGTGTGTAGATAAAAAACTTTGGGAAGTTTTTTGGGGTTCCTGTAGCAAAAGTTGTTAAAAAACTAGTAGCTAAAAAACTTGGTAAAAAACTAGGGTGCCAAACAGGCCCTTTATATGCAGACCGCCAAAAAAAATGTTACTTATCTCTAATTTGTGCACAAAAAATTGTAATGGAATTATATCACTTGTAGTTGTATTTTTTTATAAGAAAAGAAAGTAATGGAATTATATCGAACCGCCAAAAAAATGTAATGGAATTATATCAGTTGTATTTGTATTTTTTTAATAAGAAAAGAAATTAATTTATAAATGAAGAGCAGCTTAGCAAAAGTAATTTTATTTGTCGTTTTATATGCGAACCCTCAAAAAAATGTAAGTTACTTATCTCCAATTCGCACACACGGAAAAGTAATAGAATTATATCACTTGTATTTGTATTTTTTATAAGAAAAGAAAGTAATTTATAAATGATAAGCAGCTTAACAAAAGTAATTTTATTTTGTATTATACTATTAGTCAAAACTTTACTCAAAGAAGAAAAAGGCTATTATAACAAATTGTAAAAGTGGGGTTACTTTCAATATTTTCATCACAACACTTTAATTGGTAAGACGTTTCGCCTGTAACTTTCATGTCACTATTGATTCTCAATTTGTAAATATGATGTTGAATTTTTAATCTCTTTTTTTTTTGTTAATCCAACTTATAATTGTTTTTTTTTCTAAGAGTCACTTTTTGATTTTTTTAAATTTTTTGAAAACAGCCTCCTTATGATTTTTGGTCACATTGTATGGATTTTCAACCTAATTACGCCGCTGTAAACATTTGCAGTCTGAATTCACTTTGTAAAATTTGCAGCCAATGCTTAAAATATGGACACACTGCACATAGTGTTGCATGGCTCCGATAGAAGCATATGTGTAACTTTCTTCTAGTTAATAAACTTTCAATAATTCAAATGCAAATTAGGGAGACCGCTAATCAAGATTTTGTAAAACTTTCAAGCACGAATTATGCTATTTGCTTCTTTAGTGGATTTGTAATTAGGTGAACAATGGAGATTCAATGTTTGAGACCCTGGCTATTCTGATGAAAGGGGTTGGAGAGATTCATCAAGAAGGAATTCCCCCTTGCGGAACTATTATGGGCATGCAGCCAAGAAGGCACCGTGAACTTGAAGCTCAGGGGCAGGATTCAACAAACGGTGGTTGAGAAAGGAAATTTGGTAGAAAAAAGAATCATGTCCCTGTCAATTATCTTCGAATTTGAACTTGAAAATATATATATATATATATGGGTAAAGCCAAATTAAAACTGTTAAATATCAAGCCTTTCATTCTCTAACATTTTATTGTTTTTTTTGGTCCCAACCTATAAATTTGTGCGTTACGAAAGGAAAAGGAGTTGTTGATGTTGCAACCTTTTTGAGTGATTTCATTTATGTTTATGTACGAACATAAATGAAATCAAACTATCATTCCTCGCTACACAAAGCAAACCTCTCAATGTTTCATCTGAATGTTAATGTAGTTCACTGATCTTCAGTCCACTCACATGCAAAGAGAAACTTACAGAGATAGATGAGAAGCTAAATTGTCACGTATCAGATATTGCGTACTATGGTTACATATGGGTACATGCGGAATAATTACATTATCAGATTCACATTCGGTGCATGGTCTTATGTATTTTCGTTACTGATTACTGAATAGCTAGCGACCATATGGCTTCCATTTTGCCGTTTACTTCAGCCTCAAAATGCTTTTTCGCTGCCAGCCAGGGCTTCCCAGTTGTCTGCAGCATCCACCTTATTAATTTGATCTCTTGACAAGAAATAAAAACATTATTGCTTCTGCCATACAACGAAAATCTCCAACATAGGATAGAAAAACACGAAAATGCCAACAAATTAAGAACACTCCTCTACAATATTGAACAGAATAAATCCAGAATTAAGGACCTGCAAAACCGCATGCTACTGTTGCGTACTAATACTTGCACAATATATAGTCCATCATGGAAACAATCAACACTTGAGCTATCAAGCAGCTAAGTACCAATAAGCAGTACATCTCAATGATCTATAAATGTGTAGAAATCAATGAATGAATCCTGTATCCGCTTTAAGTGATCAGTCTGTATTAGCTAGAAGCAATAAAAGGTCTCAGGAAAGGGAGTGACGAAAATGGCATCGGTGACCATAGGGGCAGATATCCCGAGCAAGAACCATCCGGCAAACCTCAGTCTTGTAACGAGGGTGCCTTATCACCGGACGCAGCTCCATGATCCCATGTGCGAATCGACAGTTTCCAGCAAAAGGGCAACTTCCGGTCTCCTGCCACTTGTTACACAGCTCCGTCTTGGACATCCCTTGATTGTACACCTCGAACTGCGACGCCTCTTCCTCTCTCCCTCCCCCTGCTACGTACACCCTTTGCCTAGCCTTCTCCTATTGCAAATTAATTACTGTAATTTATAACCAAAGAGTGATATAATACAGAGTTTTTACTCTCTTATTGTTCCACCGTCTCTTGAGTTTCAAGTTAATGTATCTCAATTCTTACTAATTAAACAAGTACTTGATCTACGTACTATTAAACACGCACAAAAGTGTGGTGCATAAATTCTTAAAAGTAATTAATAAGCCTCCACTGAGTAATGCACATACCGGAAACTTGGATAGTTCGACTTAAGAGTTCTAATAGACTTCTATTATACGGTAACTAATTATCGCCACAAAAAAGTATTCTCATATAAAGGGGGCAATTTTTAAAAGACTACGGAAAACCTGACATTTTAAGCTAATCAGGACAGGACGTAATAAAACAACGACAATCGAATACGTAAAATAATCTTTTTTTATAAGAAATGTTCTAACCGAATCTGGTAAGGGTGGAGAGTTAACTCGGTTTGGACTCGAGGCCTGAGTCGTCGGAGCTTCATATTTTCCAGCAGATTCGGGTTTAAACTTGAGATAGCCGGCGGAGCGAATGGAAATGCTCTTAGGGAGGGAGACCCGTTCGGCGAGGTGCCGTCGTTGGAAGCGTTTTTGTTGGATGACATCGGGAGCCGGAGCGGGTGAGGCCTCGCGAGAGTATAAGCGCGGCGAGGGAGTAGCGTTTCCACTGATTCTGAGGCGGTTGAAGTCGGAGAGGAGGCAGTTGTGGATGGTGGCTCGGGAGAGGAGACTGAGGCGGTGAACTAAGTCGGCATTTGCGAGGCGGAGAGATTCGTTGTCTTGACCGAGAGCCTGCACTTCTTTGATGGATTCGCGGAGGTTGGCGAGGCAAAATGCATAGCGGTTGTAGAGCTGCTGGTACTCGAGGATGAGGCTGGAGTCAGAATGGCAGCGATCGGGGGTGACTACTTCGTCTGTCATGGTATCGTAGGAGGGAGGAAGAGCTCGAAAATTGAGAGATAAGTGCGGAGTACCGGTTTAACGGTGATGTGGTGGCGATGGCGGAGGAGGGCGTGTATTTGCTTGGCGGCGGTGGTGGTCAAGGTTCCGGTGAGGAGGATATGCTAATCTTTCACGAGTAGAGTAGCGTTGGGATTGGGCATGGGATGTAGGGGAAAACACTATACAGCTTTAAGGAAGTAGTAATGATCTGGGGTTATGAAGGAGTGAGAGGATGCAGCAATCACATCCATGGGTTTGGAAACTCCGGATTCATTTCATATGGTTGGTGAAATTCTCTGGACATTGCTTGGGTGGGAAGAATTTAAACCAAACAAAAAAACAAAAGTGAGGGAAGTAGTAGTTTGGCTGGCTGGCGGGCGGGGAAATTAGGTTCACAACACAAGGAGAACGACGAAGAGGGGACCGGTTGCTCACTGGCTGAGGTGGGTCCCCGACCGTTAAGGCCCCCTGATCCTCGTCCCTACTTCCTTCCCAATTCCCAGTCCTAACCATTTTTCTCACTAAAATAAAGAAGTTTCTTTTCTATGCACTGAGTAGAGGTGTCAAAATGGGTCACTTGGACGGGTTTGAGTTGGGTAAAATGGGTAATGGGTATAAGTGAGTCAACCTATTTATACCCATTTAATTAAATTGGTATAAATGGGTAAGTCAAAAAATGAATTGGGTAACCCAATTACCCATTTATAACCCATTTATTTTAACTTTTTGTAAACTCATTTAAATTCATTTTTACAAACTAAGTTATCAATTTATACCACTCTTTGCACCCATCATTAGTTTTAAATATTTACTTATAATGTTCAATAAGTCTAATTATCAATTTTTTTTCCTATCCGTACTCTATATCACAAAATTACATACTATTTAATAATTAAATAATAAGAATATAAAAATTTGAATAAAGTACTATAAAAATTAACATAACAACTTAATCCAAAAAATTTGAACCCCTAATATTTTTTTTCATGTGTAAATTTAAATTTTCATTTTGGAAAGGTAGGAAAAGAGGCTAAAACTTATCATAAATTGGTAATGCTAAAAAATGAATAAGTTAACAAATTAAGAGAAAATAAAATTATAAAATAAAACCAACAAATAATAATAATAATGAAACAAAAGTAGTTAAGATCATAACAAAATGAAAAATTTGGAAAAAAAAAAGGTGGGGGAAGAGAGGAGATTTGGGGAAAAACAATTCTAAATGGGTTTGATGGGTTACCCAATAATGAAATGGGTATTATTGGATAACCCATTTATACCCATATACAAAAACTTAAGATACCCATACCCATATATTCATGGGCGGGTATGGGTAAATTTAATAAAATGGGTTGATTTGTCACCTATAGTACTGAGTTAACACTGAGGCTTTTAGCCTTTTCTGACCATTTTTTTTTCCAAAAAAAAAAAAAAATCTTTAAAAAGAAAAAAAAATTAAGTGGATTTGGATTATTTGATACAGTGTAATATTTGTCTGGAAATAGGCAATGAAGTGGATTACATCAGAATGCCGATTATGTGTTATGTGCATGAATAATTGTTCGATATAGATTGCTTAAGATGAAAGAAGGAGGAGGGTGGTGTGATATGCAAGAATACACTACTATGTATGTCAGTGAAGTGGAATGATGATGATGAGTTGAGTTGGATTAAGAATAACTTAACTAATGGTTTCATGGGAAATAAGTAATTAATAAAGTCTCTCTAATCATTTCAGCAGAGAGGGATGTAGAGAGTCGTTGCTTCCTTATCACTTCTTTAACTAACTCACTCGAGGCTAGCTGTGCAGTCTTGTTCCACTGTTTACAATTTCATCCCACGGATTTAATATTGATCATAAGGCAACCAGTTTTGAAAACTTAATCGATGGGAGTCCTGTACACCAGCCTGCTACCCTATCAATCATTCTGATGCGTCCTAACAAAAGGTTATTTCGATGACTAACAAGATTCTTGCTGTGTGTGGAGATCGTAATTTCCAAAGTTTGGTGGCGAGATCAAATCCCCTCTGATAAACATTTAGATTCTTCTATCACTTTACAACTGTAATTAATTAATTTGGGGATTCACATCTGGCAGCTACTCTTTATGATTTTGATTGCAGTCAGGCAAATTAAGGAACATCACATCCTACAGCCACTATATGAGAATGCCCGCTGCCTGCAAATGCATTTGATCCATCATTGGATGCATGCAGGGCGTAATTAAGCCAAGCATCCTTAATTTTAATCAACTTCTTCTTCATGGTGAGCATCCTTGGAAGTTCTCTACTACTGATCGATGATGGTTTATTCAAATTTCCCCACTTGGTTACTGCTTTATTCGATCATTTGTTAATTATTATGACATAGAAATTAGCATCGAGTTGGCGTCGCGGGGGTTTAGAACCTGCAGACCGACACCGGGGGATAGATAGAATCTGTTTGTACAGGAGGAGACCTCAGTGGAGGAAGGTGACTGAACACTATTCTAAGACGTGGGCTGCATCAGTCTGCTGTGCTTTGTCAGTCCTACACGTGGCTAAGTTAATGGTTTAGCCCAATAAAATCCAAGAACGGCCCAATCGAAATTTTGGTCAAAATTGACATGATTATGCTTGGATCTGTGCTGACACTAATTTAAGAGATGTAGACATATTATTATGACAAATATATAGACTCTGCCAAACAAATTTTTGGGCACAAATTTTAATGAGAGAGAAAATTTATAGTATTATTTCACCTTATTATATTAGTGTCTATATTTATTATATTTATTATTTCACCTTATTATTTTGGCTAAGTATTTCGATGCCAGTCTGTGCCTTGATTATTAATAGGAGGGCTATCATCTCGCACCATCCTTAAAGATGTATATTTAACTTTTTTTGAAGCTAAGAACGTCAAATTTTCTTTATTAGGTGGTCTTGCCCCCATAAATTAAAGAATAAATTTGTTTAATTGTTTTTTAATAGGTTGGACATTCAAAACAGTTGATAATCAAGCTTGACTCGATTGGTTGAGCAGCTCCAGCTGTCGCATAAACATTTAAACTGAAATAGTTTTCAGTAGGGCTGAACATACTCGAAACTAACAAAGAGTTGAGGATGTATAGGAGCGTCTTGAAGTTGTCCTTACCTGCAGTGAAAAAAATTCAAAGGAGGTGCCAGGAATACCTCTTTGATCTAGTAAGTTTTTATACTTATTAGACCCTTATACATACTATCTTTAGGCTCCCCTCCCCTGGATTAGATTATAGAAATATTATCGTTGCGGTAAAAAAAAAAAAAAAAAAGAAGCTCTTGTCAAAGAAGCTGAACACTAGTGGTATTTATTTAGACCACAAGGACATGTCTGAAACTTGATACTATTAAAGAAACAAAAAAAAAAAAAAAGAATGTGTGGAGGAGAATTTACCCAATTTAGTTGTCTAACATATCTTTTCAAGCTCAGCAAAACCACAAATTAAATAGCTTTCATATAGGCATCTGGATATCGAGATAGTTGAAAGTAGTTGTACGTTGTACTCAAAGAGACGTTTGTGGTTTTCATTTACTATATAGTAAATTATAACCCGTTTCCCCTTCTTAAAAGCTAGGCACGGTTCTCTTGTTTACTGGTTGCAACGTCTGAAAATTTCCTAAAGCGTTGGGCAGTAGCTAGAGCTTAATTAGAGCATTAAAATGGCGGTTAGATATTTGAAAAAAAATACAGCAAAACTCACAAATAGAAAAGTGTTTTTTAAGAAAAATAAGAAAGAAAGAAGGAAAGAAGTTGGCCCAAATTGGTTCCACCTAATTAAAAATTGCATGAAAATGAGACCCATAAAACAAAGCTCGGTATTAATTTTTCTTTTTTCTTATCCTAATTCCTATATATCCTTGCAATACCACTATGGGAGGTTGTACAGTCGATTAATGTGACATTTCCTGATCAGGGTGATAATCAATCCCTTTCAAACCATTCGGAGTTGGAATTACTGAAACGCTAAAATATTACATAGCAAAATGGAATAAGAAATCTCTGCAAAAATTATAACTCAGCTCATTAAAGAAAATAAACCTCATTGGTCTATATTAAAATTCACATTCAGACAATTCGTGCGCTTTGTACATGGAGAAGCTGAATATCAAATTTCACCCACGTTTAGGAAGACAAAATTAAAGATGAAAATCTAGGCCAGTTGCCCTACCTGGAATCCATCTCCATGGAAACCGCTAGAGATTTGTATATCTCATAAATAAGCCTATTTTCGAACTCACTATTTTTATAAGTTACAGGAACCGGGCGAGCCTCTGGGATCCTCTTTCCGGCAAAATCATTTCCACTGTTCATTGCCCCGACGTTGCCAGCCAATCTAAGCATCATGTTCATATAGGCGTTCTTGAACTTGGTCCAGAGCTTCAGCGGGGAAGCAAATTTGAGACGCAACTTTGGAATTGCTCTGATCTTCCATGCCCTCTTCTCTCCCTGCCCTCCAAACTTCACAATCTTTACATTCCTTCTCGAGCCGTTTATTCGGTGATAGTTCTTCCTTCTTCTCCATTGCCTCTTCAGGCTTCCGTTAAATGGATTAGCAAGCAACTTCATCTTTTTCAGTTGTATGTGGAAACACTAGGGAAGGGAAGGTTTGATTGGTAACTGGGGGGCTTTTTTAATTATCGTAGGGATGGGAATGAAAGGCTGATAGTATTTATATGAAAGCAAAAGGAATCTTTTGAGTTGGCGAGGTCTGTTTCTTGGTAGCAAGCGGGGATGGTTTTCTTTTATTATGCGAGACGTCCTCCTGAGTCCTGCGCTCGGCAACCCGCTGAAAGTAGTTGGTAAGCGTAAGCGGCCGGTCAACAAAGTCGGTTTTAACATTTATTGGTTTTCTGAAGTTTTTTAAGCGCTTAAGATTATGGAGGTGCGTGTTTGTCTTATAAGTGCGGAGCATGGAATTCTTCATTTGACGCCCATTAAAAGTAAACCTTTGACGGAGATTATCAGGATCTTCTCTGCTTCAAACGGACGTAAAGACTGGAGACTGGGACTCACCTCAATAGTTCAAAAAAGCATTCGTTTCGATATGAGAATTTGACTTTCATAATCGCTCAGCTCATGATTCCTTTCATCATTAAAATTAAGTTAAAAAAATGATGATGAGATGCACTAAGAAATAGGCCATTCCTTTTTTACTTTTCTTTTTACCCTTTTGTGATATCATGCGCTGCGGAAAGAGATTATACCACTCCTACTACGTTACGAGTCTTGAGACAGTAACAGCATTAATCAGCACGTAATCCTGCGCCAAGAAAGAGTATGCCCTTCTTCTTTTATATATGTATATATAACACAGGAGGAGGTGTTTGTTCCCCTCCACTAATCAGACACGGTCTATATTTGCGGTCTCATTAGATACTAGTACTAGTTCATATGCTCCCAAGTATGTTCTAGTTCCAAATACAAAAATGAAAATTCTACTCCTCTCAATGGCTGCTGCTTCTTCTTTTTTTTTTTGGTTTGCCCAGTCGTATCAAATGCGACCTTTAATTTCCAAAAGATGAATAAATTATTACTTAAAAAACACAATCAATGGCCAATTCAAGGAGATCCCTGTATTTGGCGGCCGGATGCTTAAGAAAAATCTTGCTTACTCTTTTATTGTTGAACGGGAATGGAAGTATGTTTTCTACGAAACACTACTGATAATAGACAAATCAGCAGCAACGAAGAACATGGAGAACGACAAAAGAATTTTCGTCCTGTTTCTGAATGTGGCGTGTACTTGTAATTGTAAAAAAACAAGGGCCTGCAGTATACTTACTTAAGACGCATCTCTTCTTTTCTTGCTCTGTAATTTGAAATAGTCCATGCAATTGTTAATTAATCAAGAAAGCTCTGTTAACTCGAGATAACTACTGGAACAAGTCTCATCCACGTTTCAGGCTCTTCTTGTTTAATTTTACTTGGGACTTTCTAACCCAAAAAGAAAAACAAGGAGATAAGAACATGTTAGTTTTTGCTAATGAAGGTATCGAGATCATGGTATCAAGAACAATCGATCGGCCGTCTTTCTTCTTTTCGTACGTGCAAACTCTCCTGCTGATTATGTAACATAATAGTAGTATAACAATGCACTCAAGTTTAATTTTAAAAGCAAACTTTTGGAGATATTAAATGAAAGTTTTACAAGGGAAGAAGATTTCATAATTACTCTTCGTTTTGGTTCAAGGGTAGATTTCAAGCATTATAAGTAACTTACAAGGAGAAATAGGGAAATAGAGGAAGACTCGATCGGTAGTAGCAGTCGACAATTACTTGATTGATTAATGCCTTTCCTAATTAAATCAGGCCTTGGACCTTCGCATGGCGTATGGCTTGTAAAGTTCATCCAATTTGTTGACCAGTGAAACTTGGTTTGATACTTTAATGTTTAAAAAACTGATAAATTAAGCACCAAATATTACTAAAGTCAGGCCTACGATAGTTTCAATGGAAGTCTGAAAAGACTTTCAACAACCTTCAAGAACACGCAAAAACCAACATGTGGTATGCAACTCAGATAAATTGTGTACTTTTTTTTTTTTTAACTCGAACCCTAGACAAGTCAGGAAGGTCGCCATACCCTAAGGAGAGGGAGCGGACCGTTCGAACTATCTCGTGGGAGCAGAAGACCAGCCACTTAAAGTGGCAAGTTTGTGGGAGGCAGTGGCTTTATTTTTTATTTTTAGCTGGGATTATTCTTAATCATAAATTGTGTACTTGGGATCCGGTAGAATACGCGATTTCATTGGTGACTATAGAGGCCAATTTGAAGAACAAAATGGACCGCAGTCAACGTGATATTATTGAAATCAATTACTAAATTTTTTCCGGAAAAAAGAATTGAAATTTTAAATTAGCTGTCCAAATGAAACTATAGTCCTTAATAGGAAAGAATCAACTCCCTTAGGTAAATGGTCTATGATACTCGATATTGACCTGTGACTTGCAGCAAAATGAAGAGGACTCGTGGTATGAAGTCGTTCGACATTACTGAAATTAAATCAGTAATGTATACTACATTTTTTTTTTCAAAAAAAAATTAACAGTAAAATGGTGAAATTTAAAAAAAAAAAGTCGGAAAAGGAGATAGGCAATTAGAACACGTGACCTCTAAACCTTAAAGTTTCAACTTCGGCAGCCGGACATCGAGATTTCTGTATAATAAAGTAGAAATATTACTACTGATGGCACGGTGGTGGCGTCATGTATGATGTTTAGCACATAAATCTTGTCTGAAATTTCATCATTTCATCATTACTGTGGTGGTGTCATGTATTATGTGTTTGGAATTTCATAATTACACGTTTGTCTCGTTTCATTACTACTTTGTCAAACACTATCATATGTAATGAGGATTCGTTGTTGTTACTTGTTATGTACCATGCGAAACATGCCGCTAATAAATATTGAGGATAGAGCAGTAGAGATACAGCAAATGAGAAGGTTAGTTGCCGGTTGGGCGTAAATTGTTGAAATTTATTAGCCGCTACCAGCACGACGACTCAATGTCCCTCCCTGGCATGGTTTTCGTCATTTTTCGGCTGAGCAACAGACTTTTCATCCGCTCCGATAATGACTCCGATGATAATAAGTTTTACTACCGCCCACCTGCAAAGAAAACGCAACCCCCTTCTCACGCATTAATTTGTCACTAAATGTGGCAGGCCACTTCAAGTGGCTACCGGACGAGTGCGTGTAGTGCACTCGTCTGAACGGATTGATGGTTCAATCTTCTTAGATTTCTCTTCGAATCTCTTCAGGTCCCCTCCTCTCCTCTGTAATATGGAATGTACGGAGGTCTATCTATTGTATTTGGCAAAAAAATAAAAATAAAAGTTCTCGCGCATTAATTTTGCGCTTTCCAACCAAAAACTGAAGACTAATTTCTTAGGACTTAGGCGTGTGGGTAGAATGCAGGCTAAATGTTGAAGCCCAAAAATCTATTGCGGTACAATTGTAGACAAACTTCCGAGCCCATTTTCACAATGACCTTTGTATTGTGGACCGAAAGAGGGAAAAAAAGAAATCAAATTGACCTTACTTTCTTCGCATATTCTACCCAGCTTGAACCTCACCAGGAATGGATGGCGAAAAGCTCTTCTTCAATGGCTTACAAGAGGCAAACAGCAGTTCCTTCTGGAAAGTTAAGGGAATCGGTGGCAAAAACGGAAAGCACGATGACAAGCGATTGTCGATGACAGACTTCCTCCACGAAAGTGGGCGTCAGATAGAGGAAGCGTGGGAGGTGGGTCCAGTAGCTGGCTTTGGAGTCGGTTGTGGTGTTGGGGTGGGAATGGGAATGGTGGGAGGTGTGGGCGTTGGTAATGGTGGGTCGATGTGGAACTACCTCAGAACGGTGTTCGGGTTTGGAATTGGGTGCGGCGTTGGATTTGGTGTTGGGTATGGGCAAGGGATTGGATTTGGCCGTACACTGCAATCGCTAAGATCTCAGCTTTTCCAGCCGAAGAGGAAGTCCAAGAGACCAATCCTTGTTCTGATTTGATTTCCTGTATTGTCGCCTGGATTCTGTTTGTTTCTTGTTTCCTGTCAAGACAAGTAGAATTTGAATTTCTGCTGTTCTTTTGTTTGACAAAACATCAGTGTCGACGAACCCGGATGGTGTGATTTTGGCTAATAGCATTTTCTTTTTCCCCTTCCAATCTTCGGCATTTGTAGGCAGTTTTACTGCCGGAGTCTTGACTGTGGTGGTGGACGCACTTTAACTCATCCTTTTATGACTGTGAATTTACGGCTGAATCTGGATTGTAGACAACAACCCTTTCATGATAAAGTTACGTGAACACCAGCCTTTCTTTCTTGTTCTACGGCCATAACGTCCGGTCACGACTACAACAATCCTATTTGATGATCTTGAAAAACGAATTTAGCATATTCAGATGTGGATAAGGAGGCCTTCTAGTTCTAGGTAAAAGTTCAAACTTGCATTCGTCGATATTAAATGCATTCTAATTCCTTTGGCAACAAGCTCCAACTGATAAAATACTGGTGGCACGACTAAAGAGTTTGGCCATAATCACGTTAATCTCAAATTACCAAACGAGCAGCAGTAATCAGGTAGTAATTGCTTGAGCACTCCACTCCATCTGATATTGACGTGTTATTTATCAGCCAAATCATCACATTAACAGAATAATTTGTGACCAAGTTAGAAGTAAACCAACTTCTGAATAAATTTCTAGCTGACGAACTTCCATAGAACATCAAACTGCACCCCACCCCCGGGGGCGGGGGAATCAATCACTAGTTTCTTCAACATGTTACCACCAGTATATGATTGCTATGAAAAGGGGTCTCGTGGCCAGCTTGCAGAAAAATGTGGAAGTAAACACCATAACAGCCCGGTCGGCGGCCAATTCAGGCCCTAGAGACTCGTTATGCTGTCCCTCTGAAACAAGTGCCTTCAGCAACTAACTTTCCCAAGGACGGCTCAAGAGTTCTTTTGTTCAGCCAGATAGACCAATGTGGCACTATCAGTATTTTTAATCAGTTCAATTATTTGCATGTACATTTAACTCTTCTACATCAAAAATCCTTTCCTTTCT